GACACCTATCAACATCCACAACATGGTCATGTGAATGGTGTCGTTCTCATCTTCACCGGTGCTTGACTGCTATCTTAGTTGTTGTTGGATCACTGGTGCCTAACTGATGCCATTCCCACCTTTAGCCTATCATTGCCAAATCATTTTTGTTTGATCACCACATTTGGTTATCACTACTGATAATCCTGGATCAGTCATGACTATTGGTCACTGCCATAGATGCTAATAAATCTTGCCATTACACAATCTTAACCGTCGGTCTTCCATCATCCCATTCGAGTCGTTGTCACTTCTCCAATATTTTCTCCCATTCCTGTAATATTATTTTAAGATGTTCAAGAAAAGACACATTCTTAAATAGTGAAAACATTTCACTGTGATTTTTCTTTATTAGGTTTCTCATGTATAAACTCCTGTTGTTTTTTCTATTAGTTCTTCTTTTATCTAGTGTGAATTTTGATACAAAACTAAGACGTTAATAAAACTTTATCGTCGTGAATTATCCGACAAACAACAAGAATCATTAGTTTTTTATTTCATTTTTATAATGTTGGGTTCTTATATATAATAACACTTAAATTTTATTTTTTATCTTTATACCATCCTAATCTTTAATATCACATAAAAATACTAGTATTTTAATATTTTTATAATGTTGGATTCTTATATATAATAACACTTTAATTTTATTTTTTATCTTTATACCATCCAAATCTTTAATATCACATAAAAATACTAGTATTTTAACTTTTTTAAAGTTAAGAACGCCTTCTTATGCACATGGAATGTGGTGTATATACATGTGTGAGGTTGTGTTTCTACATGTATGTATGTATGTATGCTAATATATCGTCATGCTAGAAAATAAGATGTGTATTTATTTATAGTTGGATAATCTTAATCGAATGATGAAGATCGGATGATCATAAATTAATTGTCAGCCAAAGATAGGTGATGACAGTTATATAAGTGGATGTAGATGGGTGATTGTATTTAGGTGTCCAAAGTTTAACAATCATAAATGGATGATCATATTAAGGCAATGGTGATCAAACTACCATAGTTAGAAGACAATCGTTAGGGTATTAGAAATAAGTGATAGAGGTTGGACTATCATAGTTCGACATCGATGGTGACTCAATGGTAATTTGGCAATTGACGGTGGTTCGTTAAAGTTTGCAATCTGACAATGGTGATCAAATAGTGATGACCAGGTGACGGTAGTGATTGAGTAAATTCAATATATATGTGACAATTGAAATAGTTTGTTAGCAGTCGTCATGCAGATCTCAAGGTTCATCCAAATTTATGAGCATTCTCTAATGTGGGAATCAATTTATAAATGTTATAAAATATATCATCTATATTTAAAACACTGCATCAAACACTTAAGGTTGTTCGTTTTTATTGTAAGATATGCCTTTGGAATTTTGAGTATCTTAATGATTTTTGAAGTTCAGGTTAACTACACTACTACTGAAAAGGAGTTTCTCGCCTTAGTATATGCTTTCAATAAATTAAGACCGTATTTGATTGGTACCAAGTGCACTGTTCATACTAACAATTCCGTTATTAGATATCTGATGTCAAAAAGGGACGTCAAACTAAGGTTGAGCAGCTGGAGTTTGTTATTATAAGAGTTTGATATCGAAGTAATGGATATAAAAAGTATGTGAATCAGGTAGTAGATCACTTATCAAAACTAAATTAGGGAAATTCATGTGCATTTGATAGATATATCAATGAAAATTTTACTAATTAGCAAAACATCATGCAAGTGTAAAATTGTGAAAAAATTAAAATTCTTCATATTGTTCATATTCAATATATTTGAGATTTATTTGATTTTGATAAATTCCAAATACATTTTCAATGTATTTAAATTTTAATTAAATTATATTTAATTTTAAATTATTCTTAATTATATTTTATTTAAATTAAATTATAATTCTTAGTTACAATTTAAATTAGTAATTTCAATCTCAAATAAAAATATGAAATGTTGAAAATTATTTTAAAAAATTTATTTTACATCCTAAAGCTTTAAAAAAAGCACTACGACAACTTGGGCAGGCGACATGTGACGTGCACCGAAAAGCAGTGGGAACATTTTTATTAATTTGTTACAACTGGCCGCATCTTTGACTAAACGGTCAACTAACCGATGTTCACTGAACCGTTCCCGGTAGACCAACAAGCTCAGTTTTGACTTTTCGAAGCTTCGATGTTTTCCCAATTCGTTGCGAAGGCCTTGTGAGCCCAATTTAAAAAAATACGGGCTTTTCTTTGTTGACTTTTGGTTGCAAAGGCCCATTAAAGTTGAAGATAAAAAAACTGAGAAATATGTGCTTATCCTTGTTTTGTTTGTTTCATGTAATTTGAAAAAAAAAAATGTAAAGAAAATAGTTTTTAACGTTAATTTAAATGTTATTAATTAATTAATTGCTATTAACATTTTAAAAAAAGAATAATTGTTTTATTTTATCTTCTTAATGTTTTTTTTTTCAATTTGAAATTAATTTTGAGTGAAATTTGTATATTATATTGAACCCGTTGCAACTAAAAAATTAAGTTTATTTTTATTTCTTAGATAAAATGGAAATTACTTATCATTTTGAAATGAATTTTATTATTCCACAAAAAAATAGTAAATAAAATATTACTTTAAATTAATAAAATACTCTATTTGGTTAGCATCAAACAAGTAGAATTCAATATTAACATGGACTTAAAATAGGATAAGAAATAGAAATTATTATGGATTAAACGATATATTAATAAATATAAAAGTTCGTGATGATAAATTCATGAATTACATATTTACTCGTGATATATCGATCAAGCATATAATTGTCCTTCGTGAGGTCATAAATTTGAATTGTGCATATTACCTTTTTAGGCTATTTTTTCCTAAAAGAAAATTCATAAAACTTATTTATTCCTTTTCTTCAATTTGACTTTTTTGACTTTTTTTTTTTTTCAAAAGATTTTGTCCCTTCAAAACATTGGATGAATTTGCTTTAGTTACTTAAATGAAAATGGATCATTATTAAAGTTGTTAAGTGATGAGGCTCCTGCCTCGACACTCTCTTTAATTCGAAAGGATCGAAGGGAAGGTAAATTTTGTTTAATTTAAACATTCATTTTGATTATGAAATATTTACATACATAACACTCGATGCCTATGTAGTTAAACATCTGAATGTTACAATAATGATTTTGGGCAATGTAAATGTAAAAAAGCAAAATTCATGTGTTGCATATATAAATTCAAATGTGTTGTGTGCCAGAAAATTCACGGTGGTAGAGTGATATTTTAAAGTCCTAGTGTTACACGAACATCTTACACACATAGAATGAATAAAATTAGAAGGAGGAGACAACAATATTTTATATATGAAAAACCTAAGAAAAAAAATCACGGGATCTAGCTCTGTCAAAATAATCAATTATGTGTTTGCAAGTACAAGAGTACACCATTTCCCATGACATATAGAATGAGGTTTGGTTTTAATTTTACACCAGAAACTATAATTGTATCATCATAAAGAAAATGCAAGTGTTAGACACAACAACCATATTTAGAATATAATGGTTGCAAGCAATAATCACTGAGAGAGAGTGGTCAGCGGTGACAGTCGGTGATGGTCGATTGTATTTGAAGGATAAGTTTTTCATAAAACAATTTCAGACTTATCATGATGTATTCTAATGCACTATTAATTGATTAGAAGATTTGATATAAGATGCATTTGAAAATCAAATGAGATGATATTCAAAATAGGACAACAAATAACATATTATAAAAAAATACACTTGAACAAACACAAATTTTGAGATTGCTAAAATTAAATTTAGAGCTATATGAGCTTTGATTTCAAGAAATTTATATTCAAATTGATTGTATCAAGATAAATTCAACAACATTAAACATGTACATATCAGTCAAATTAATTTCAAATAAAGCATTAAAATGTGGTTGAGAACTTTTAGGATGTTAAGAAAAAAGTCAAATTTTTTTGAATAAAATATACTCATAGTGAAAATGAGTCTCTCGCTAAGAAAATTTTAACAAGCCCAATATAAGTTAATTTTGAGGCCATTAAAGACATATAAATTTTGAATGAAATGTCTACAATGGAAGAAAATAATATGTATGATCAAATAGAGTATTTTTGGACTTTAGGTAAAATACCTACAATATTACTTTAGAAAGTTATGATAGCCTCTTTTTCTTCATATGAAAGGTGCTTGACTTGAAATTGGACAGATGTTTGAGATAAGAAAATTTCTTGAGCTTTGTGAAACAACTGATGTCAATAACTACCATCAACAACAATCATTGTCACATGATTAGCATAGTTCAATCATCATCACTCGATTTATGTCATTCCACCATCGCTTGAACATAACCAAAGTCTCGTGTATGCACCATGTAACTATTTTTTTAATCATTATTGGCTGATTGTAGTTAGGGTTTAGGGTTTAACCCTATTCTAGTTACGATATTATTGCCTTATGACCATATTAATTATTCTACACTAGTACTTTCATCAAAGGAGGCTGAGAAAAAGGCAGGAGGCCACTAATGATAGGGATGTGAGCGGGATTGCTGAGGAGAATGTATCAAATGGTGATAAACAAGATAATATTGATCCTTCTGGTGGTGTTGAAGCTGTGGTGTCAGATTCCACCGCAGTCAGGACTGAACTGAATACTACTGCTTGGGCTCCTGTGATTGGTGCTCAGGGCATGGACTCACAACACACTAATTTTAATGAGAAGGAAACGTTATTGGAGAGAGCTCCACAAATTACTACTAACTCCTAACTTTAGAATTTCATATTATCTAATTGTGGAGAAGAACAAACCAATTCTTATTTTTTAATTTTATCAAATTTCTAATAATTTAATTGTAACCCTTGGAAAATTTATTTATTTTCTAACTAAAATTTGATATGAAAGTTAACTTCATAAATTGTTAATACGTACATGTTATGTATTGAACCATTGCTACCAGATCTTTCCTTTCCCATCACCGGCTGCGTGCCAAAGGAGGACGAAGGTGGAAGCAAAGCTCCGCCATTTTTTGGATAAAGACGGAAGAAGGAGAAACCCCAGACTCCCGAAGCAACTTGGGAGGCAGTTGCGGATAGAAAGAGAGATGGCCGCACGAGCTTTTTCAATCATCTCTTCCCCTATTTTCCCTTCCTCTTCACTAACGAAGAAACCCACCATAATCTCCTCTACCTCATCGCTCTCCCTAAAATTGTTCTCCTCCTACTTCTCTCCGCTTTCCGGGTCTTTATTTGGAGAATCCGTCTACCAATCCTTCCGGCCACGAATCGTCTCTACGAAGCAAAGCCTTTTGCAGTCAGCAATGGTTCTCTCTGTGCTGCCCACCGCGTATTTCTCTCAATCTCGATTCAAATACCCTAAAAACTCTCTTTGTTGTCTTGATTTCTGTTTATGTCTAACCTAAATTAGCTTTTCTGCTGCAGAAAATCAGACAGAGCGTCGGCTGACAAAATCCCTAAGTAAGGGCTGTTTTATTTTATGAAAAACAGAAGGGGATTCTATGTTGTTTAATTAATATTGTGGTTTGATTGGTGAACAGGTGGTCGGCGAGGTCAATCAAGTCCTTCGGAATGGCGGAACTGGAAGCGAGAAAGCTCAAGTATCCAAACACTGGGACTGAGGCTCTTCTCATGGGAATCCTTGTTGAGGGTTAGTGAAGTTTTTTTTTTTTTTTTTTTTTTTGCTGAGACCTCTTTTCTGAACATGCTTCTAAATTTGCTCAATTGATGTTGCTAACTGATTTTTGGTGTTCAATGTTTAGAAAATAAGGAATTACAGCTTTTCTTTCTAAGTAATTATAGGTTTGATGCAATTTATTGTAAATTTTTATACAATTGCATGGCCCTGCAACTTTCAAGTTCCATTTTTGGATCAGTTTATAGATAACATTTTGAATTGTGTTCTGTATAGGTTTACTTTTTTGAATTATACAGGTTAAATATTGCTTGCATGTTCATAATAAATGAAAGTCCTTTTTTTTATAATTTTATATCTCAGTGCTCTCCACTTTATTAAATGATTTCTCATTGTTTTTCTTGGTGTAATCCAATTGATGCAGGATGGTTAAGAGTTTATGATTCTTGATGCTGTGAGGATGATGAGGTGAATGCATATTTACCAATTCATAAATTACAAGTCACTTAATACACAAAAAAAAAGAAGAAAAAAGCTTTCGTTAAATGAACTAAAAAATACAAGAAATAGATAACAAGGGATAATGTAACGATCTAATAAACTGAAAGAAATTAACGAAAAATTTGAATCATACAAAATCAATGAGTAATTACAATTTATTCATGATAATTAAATGCTTGTTGTGTTAAATTTGAAAAAATATCAAGAACACTCTAGCGAGAAAGTAATATAGTTTTGAAGAAATTAATCTAAGAATGAATTCACCAAATTAAGAAATCCTAGCTTTATGACAGTGCATAGAGATGAGCTCCTCTAAAATTATGTAGATGTATTTTTATTGTACTCATATGAATTATACATCCAACTTACGGATACCAGATTGAAATTGGAAGAAAAATTTTTATTCAATCCAAGATATTCAATTACATATCTCAATTTTTTTTTTACATATAGATTTTTTTATTCATGGTTTAGAAGATATAGTTGATGCAAGATCAACCAAATTGAATTCTAAATTATCAAATTTAATCTTTGTTTTTATATCAATTTCAAATATGAAGAAAAATAGAGACTCGAAGTTTCGAAAAATAATTATTAAGTTGTCCAGCACCTAATGTTTCTCGGTAGCAACCTACGAAACAAAAGCCTACAATTAGTGGCATTTTATTACAACTACACTTCCTTTATATAACAGCAATGAAATTACACACCAGGACAAAATCTAAATAGCAAAGAAGTAGCTATATTCTCAAAAAAGACTATTATAATTTCTGAAAGGGTGAAAGGAAAATGACTACATCCCGCATTGCCAAATGGCTTATAGCATTTTTTTTTTAAATTCAAAATGATAGCTCTTACTTTAGAAAACAAGATTAACTCTTAGATACTTTTGGTCATGACTCTATTTTGAGTTCATTGAATCTCTTTAATTGATTTTGTTGAGATTTAAAAAAAAAAAAAAACTACTTGTGCTGTCTTGGCTTTAGGCTTTATTCTCTCAGTTAATCATGTTTCTGTAACCTTAAACTTTAGTTGAACCCAAAGAAATGCCTTTATTCTTGCTTAGAGTCGCAAGTAAAAATTTTCTAAAATTTCAAGGTAAAGTAGTATGTAGAACTATTTATAGCAAGCTCCCTTGGTAGATTGTTTTTATTAAAGTATCCAAGAAAGCATGTTGATTATTATCTACTTTGCATTTTTTCTACTGGGGCTCTTTCTTGATTATTGCGTTGACTAATCGATTTCTAACTCAACATGTGTGAAATATGAAGTAATGGTTAGGTTGCCTTTAAAATATTCTACAACTCCTGGATTCCACTCATATAACTAGCCTATGTACATTGCAAGAGTAACATTATTTTTATTAATCCGTTGCCAGATCTTGTATTATTTTAAGTATTATGTTCTTGGTATGCTATTTATGAAATGCTGGTGAAGAATTATTCATCTATAAAATTATAGATCATTGTTACCATTTTTTTTGTGTATACTTTTTTATTTTTTTACCAAAATGATTTGGTAACAACATTTAATGATATAATTATTCCTTGGTGATGCGATGCATCTAATTTTTGGTGCTAAATTAATGCTACTTACTGGGTGTTTATATTTCTTTTTGGTTATTCATCCTAGTTCCATTTCCATGTTGTAATGTATGATTTTGTTTCTAGAGATTGCATATACTTGTTCTTTTCTTAATAATTAGATTACTTGTCAACCTGGTAGCAATTGATTCATTGCATCTTAAAGGGAATGCAAGTATTTATCTTTCAATTGAGATATAAATTAACATAAATGATTGCATTTGGAAGCCCTAATAAGTAACAGTCATTTCATTTGTTTATGTGCACAAGTATTAATGCTTTGAAGTTTTGTTCAAAACACAAAACATGCTCGAATTTTAATTGAATGTAGTCAAAATTGAAATAAATTTGCTTTGACTTGAGAGGATTCATTCTTCGAAATTAGTATAATTCAAATAGAAATCATCGCGACTCATATCAGAATACATATTTACATTTCAATAATCTATATATATATATATATATATATAATCCACCAAATAGATGCATATACATGCAAAAAATTAGAAAATAATTTTAAAAATTAAGAGACTTAGCTAAAATTCATTATTTTAGATTGATTCACTTGAACTTGATTCATTACCAACGTTGACTAAAAATCACATTTTGATTCCACTGAAGGCTCACCCCTTGATAGTTGTGCTCAAAATAAAAAATGACTACAAATATAATTGATGTAATTAGAAAACCCATTCAATCATGCATGAATTTTGATGAAATTGGAAACTTTTGAAAGTAAATTCAGAATCATCCTTCTTCAATTTCAACAAACATATGGTCGAGTTGAGCTTCTCGATAAGCTGAACCCAATGACATCACTGGTTCATGTTGAGTTAAAATGAACTCATATTTAACACTTAGGGGGTGTTTGGTAGCATACTTTTAATAGGATTTACGGTTGGATATAACATAAGTCCAGACAATCACGAAAAAGAGGGAAGTTAAATCCGTTGCTCTGCTAAACCCATTTTTGTTCTCCATTTCAATGTAAATCCGGATTTATTAAATCCGATATGTAGGTGAATTCAATGGATTTAGTTTAGAAAGAAAAACACACCTGTGCAGCTCCTGTTTTCGCTTTTCTGGTTGCATAGTGCTCCAAAGGGAGGAGTTCAATGTGATTGCCTCATTGCCCGTCGTCGACTTCAAACAGATTGTTTTGGCTCTTTTGAATTTGACATCTTCTCTTACGCCATTTGACCTTTTCTGCACAAATCCTGAAAAATATTTTTTCTTCTTTCGTAAAGCTTTTGGGATCATTTATGAGAGCGGTCTCACCTCGAGAAGAAAAAACAGGGAAGGTATGATGATAAGCCAATGGGATGAAAGCAATCCGTATGAGGGCTCTGCATGGGGAGTTTCCAATGGAGAAGAGAAGAGGGAGGGTGGAGAGGGGAAGTTAGTAGGTATGAGGGCTCTGCATGGGGATTTTCCAATGGAGAAGAAGGGGAGGGAAATTAGTAGATTTTAGGTTCTTAGAACATTTAATTTTTATTCATTATGGAATTTTTTTAAAAGTTATTTTTTACTTTTGAACATATCATATCACATCAAATTTTTAAGTATTTTAAAAGCTATTGTGGTGTGAGGCTTATATTTCATGTTTAAATTTTTTGAAATCAATTGTCGTTAAATCCTGAAATAACATGCTAGACATGTCAGACCGATTTAGCTGTATTTAATTTTAATTGAACCAAACACTATTCTGGATTTAACAACATCTGAATTTTGATAAATTCGGATATACTGGATTTACTAGATCCTTCTTAACTTAATTCATGGGTGCAACCAAACCTCTCTTAAAAAGTGTAGTTAAAATTTTTGAGTCATTAATTAAAGAGTCAAATGATTTTAAAATTTTACTTGTTTGCAATGAAATCGAGCGTTTCGATGAGATGAATCCAACTTGTTAAAGATCACTCAGTTTTGATATTATTAAGACACTTAAAATTATTGAATGATGGTTCATGATCAAAGGATTTGCACAACCATTCAATTAAGTGTTCTCAAAAAAATAAAATGTCACTCAAAAATCATAAATAAACCTCCATCCTTCATGTGAAAAGACCGAACTTAAGTTTGGGAAAAGCTTGGAGATTGTAATAATTCTAGAGCTCTACCTAATATTTGATGCCAATGGTTATCGTCAACCAACATTATCTTCCAACCACTGTTCTACTTGGCATTTGATGACGATCACACAAAGTTGGAAGCACTTTCATCGCCTGATCAATATCGTCGACTATCATTGCCCTTCCTCATTTTAGTTTTTCGGTGAAGTCATCTCAAGGTTATATAAAAGATGTTGTTGTCAAGATTTTGCAATTGTGTTCTTTTTTTTTTCAACCTCCACCTTCACTCATTTTTTAGTTAGCCAAAATATTTTCTTATCATTAAGCGCACTATGGGAATTGTTCTTCCCTTTGAAGATGGAAAAATCATGAAGAAGCATTCATAGAGGATGTGTCATTGATTTGAAGCCAAGCTTGAAATTGGGTCATCGGACTCATTAATTATTTTGGATTATTGTAATTATAGGGAATCAATTTATGGTACAAAATTGAATTTAAAAGAGTGAACTTAGTTTATAGAAATCACTTTTGTATGTGATAATCAAGGAACTAGTAAAGAAAATATATGGGGTTTATTTGAACTTGAAAAAGACACGATCAAGTTCCATAAAAATGAATTTCATGTTCTTTAAGAGATAAAAGATGGATAGAAAATTTACATTGAAGTTATTTGAAGCATATATAAGGTAGTGGTGATTAGATTTAGAAATAGCTCTGTAGTGTCTAGAGAGCTTAATCAACATTTTTTTTTTAATTTTTTTATTTATTATTGAGATTCTTTCAAAGAAATTTTTAAACTCTGAAAGCTATACATCCAAGTCGGAAACCCTAAATCACCATTCTTTTAAATTAATTATTTTGACACCATTCTTTTTAAACACATTAATAATTTCGGATTATTTTAATTATATGGAATTTTGGTTTATTGTAGTTATAGGGAATCAAATTTATGCGTACAAAATTTGTTTTAAAATAGTGTAATAGAACATTGTTTAGAGAAATCACTTTTGTAACTGATAATTAATTAATTTTATGTCAGGGGATTTAATGTGGTGGTTATTTTATTGCTAAGGCTATTAATGAACTAGTGAAGAGAAGCAAAAAAGAAATTATATGGCTGTTGTTTGAACTTGAAAAGACATGATCAAGTGTCATAAAAATGGATTTCATGTTCATTAAGAGATAAAAGATGGACATCAAAGGCACATTGAAGTTTTTAAAGGCATATATATGATGGCGTGGTGATTAGGTTTAGGAATAGTTTTGATGTGATTAGGGAACTTTTATTGAGATGATTGCAGAAATTTTCTAACTAAGATAGTTTGCCTTATATTATTTGTTAATGGCTTACTTTTGATTGTTGAAATAAGAGAAAACTTGAAATATTGGAGATTATGAAGAATAAGGAACTTGGAATTAGTAGTTTAAAGGTCAAGTGATGTAAATTCAATAGTTAATAATTAGTATTATATAAATTGAAGTAAATAAAAATTGTGATATATTTATATATTTGTGATTTAACTTAAAATTTTTTAATGATGTCTTAGCTTATAGTTATGATTTTGTTAGGGATTGGGTCAAAGGAGATTGAAATTTGTCTAGATGTACTATTTGCCAAATTCATTTTTAATCCAAGCTTATACATGAGGATTAACCATCTAATATTTCTATACCGATATTTTTTTAATAGTTTTTTTTTTGTGGGACTATATTCAAAAACTTAATGATCTCTCCCGCAAGTGAGACTCCTCAAGTAAGACTTTTTCAGTTGACGTGGGCCTAAACTCAAACACTTGACAATCTCTCCCTCAAGTAAGAGTTTTCACATCGATTATTATTCCCTTTTAAATAGAAGTTTTCTTTTAAATAGATCAACTATCACTCCCTTTAAAAAAATCGAGTATCACTCCCTTTTAAATATGTGTGATTTTAGGTAAAAAAAATTTAGGATTGAAGAGGTTGTAGCTTGTACTTATGATTTTGTTATGGAATGAATTAAAGGGGATTGAAATTGGGTCATATGCATCATTTGTTAAATTCATTTTCAATCCAATTGTTTAAAGATTATGGGTGAAGATCAACAACTTGTTATTTTTACTCCAACATTTATTTTTATTTTTCAATGTGGGACTAAACTTAAAGTCTCAATAATCTCTCTCTCATGTGATAGTTTTTTCAGATCGATTATCACTCCCTTTTAAATAGAAGCATCATTCTATAAAAGCGAGTCCACTCATCAACATGCATATTTCAAAAGAGTCACCCACTCTTAAAATTTGCTCGCGCATTGTATAATCCACCATATACTCAAGGGAGTTACAAAACACATGGACCACGCGATCCCAGTTCAATTACTAAGATTCATAATACTTGCTAATGAGAGAACCATTGGGGGTGTCAAAGTTGAGGAGTGGTCAAACCCTTTTTATATTCATAAGCTTAAGCTTATAAGTGAGGGATAACCACTTGATATTTCTACACCTATGTATTTTTAAATTATTCGATGTTGGGCTAAACTAAAAACCTCATGTACCTAAACTAGTTTGATGGTTAAAACATAGAATCTGTTGAAAGTACATAAACTCTTTAAGTAGAATTAATGAAATTGCAAATAAACTATCTTTATAAATCTTGAGTGTTGGACAACATGGTATTGATGGCTAGTTGAGTGTGACATAATTGAGAATAGTAATATAGATGCATGGCAAAATAAAAAAGGTTAGAACTACATTATATTAGAGGGATAATGGAGTTTCGCTTTCATTAATCATATGATAGTTAAAAATAGATTTAAGTTATTTGAATATATATATAAAGGAGAGAAGAGAATGCATCAATGATTATTGAAAATTGAATTGTTGTGGATGGATTAGGAAAGAAAATGCTTGACCAAAGATACTCGTGGGTTGGAGCTGTGCAAAAATGCATTTTAAATGAAATTAAAACCTTATAATGCACCTCATAGGATGGAATGAAGAGTAATTCATATATCCGTCCCAATTAGTTGAGGTCCTCAGGTAAGGCTGATAATGATAGTTTGTTTTATGGTAGGTTAAAACCTTAGGGTTTTTATTTGCATTTGTTGTAAATCTATTAGCAAGAGCTTGGCAACATAAAGTGAATGTTAAGAATAATTAACATTTTAAGAAAATTGGTATTTTTATGCGTTAAATTAGTACGCTTCTTTCCCAAAATCTCATCTATCCTTCAATAGGAATGAATGAAGACTTGAGTTTTATGAATCAAATATTTTAAATAAAGCAAATGATTGTTAGGCCTGAAATGAGTACTATCCATTTTGTTGATTATTTATGAAAACATACACAATGCATGAAAGCATGAGTGATCTGCTAATTTGCATTAGACCCCACATATTAGTTGTGAAAATAAGGTTGTTGCTCTCTCTTTTAGGGACAAGCAGAGCTGCAAGGTTTCTACGTGAAAATGGTATTACATTATTCAAAGTACGTGAAGAAACTGTCAAATTACTCGGGAAGTCAGACATGTATTTTTTCAGTCCAGAGCACCCACCCTTGACTGAACCTGCTCAGAGGGCGCTTGATTGGGCCGTTGATGAGAAGATAAAATCAGGTATGGTGAAGGGTTTTTCCGTAACTTCTCAAGGTTTCCATATGTTTTCAATGATGCTGTAAACTGTATATTTTCACACTGTTCATTTTTGTGTTTTATATTTACAAATATCACTGCTGTCTGCATGCTTAGTTTCTCTTATATTGTTACTGAAAAAATCAAGGAGATTATTTGGGAAATGTTAACCAATTGAACATTTTGATGGAAAGCTTAAAATAATTATAAATAACCACCACGTTTTAGGTGAATTTGTGGGAAGCACAAGGATTCATATGACCTCGTGCATTTTGTATTTGTAACTAACGTTTTGCTTATGTATAATTGATCTTGTGCCTTATATCTCGAGAAAAGTGTCAAAATGGTCCCTTGACATTTTGTTACGAGACATTTTAGTCTCAAAGTTTATTAAAGTGCCAGACTTAGCACCCACTCTTTTAAAGCAGGCTAAATAACCAAACCCCCAGTCTGAGGACTAATCTGACATTTCTATAGGCTTTGGGATAAAATGACCCCATATAAGTTGTCAGGGCACCATTTAGGCCCTTTACTTCTCCTACATGTCTGTGTACACATGTCTGTGTTTGTGTTTGTGTGAGAATGCAGATATTCACACTAAATACAAATCACAACACAAACAATGATTGATGCTTTTCTATACTTTAACTACATGTCTGTGTTTGTGTTTGTGTTTGTGTGAGAATGTAGATATTCGCACTAAATACAAATCAGAACACAAACAATGATTGATGCTTTTCTATACTTTAACCCATTATCCTAAATTGGGGCATTTACATACATGCAACAAAATTCTTATGTATTTACATGTCTTAACACCTAAACTTCCATATTTACATATATAACACGAACAAAATTCTTATGTATTTACAGGTCTAACACCTAAACTTCCATATTTACATATATAACACTCAAATCTTCAATATTTTATCCTAAACTTCCATATTTACATGCAGAACACTCAAATCCTTGATATTTCATTAAAAATTACTACTAATAATTTTTTAAAGGTGAAAAAAAGTTGTTCATGCATAAATTTATGCACCAAAATGCATATATGTAAATACCAAATATTAGGTGTAGATATATAAATACATAGGAATTGTGTGGTATGTATGTAAACTTTCCCAAACATATTAGCTCAATTCTTATTGATGTTGGGGCTTTCTCTGTTCACTTCAGTTAGTAACACTTGTTCCAACTTCCTGGAATCAATATGCAGGTGAGGGTGGCGAGATTACCACAACCCATATGCTTCTCGGTATATGGTCAGAGAAGGAGTCAGCAGGCCACAAAATACTTGCTTCCCTAGGCTTTGATGATGCCAAAGCCAGCGAGCTTGCAAAATATGTATGTGTCCATCCTTATACTTTGATATTTCCCTCGTCTAAAAATTTAGGAAGATTTACGTACGTACCACTTAACTTCCATGTATTTACATATATAACACCTAAACTTCAACTTTTACATACGTAAAAAATAGTTTATTTTCGATGTGATATGAAAGATTTGTTGGTATAAATGTAAGAAGTAAAGCTTGGGTGTTAGATATGTAAATACATAGGAATTGGGTGGTATGACTGTGTAAATGCCCCACTTTCTTGAATTAATGCAGATTTTGTTGCTTTCAGGCAAACGATGAGTTTAGCTTGAGCTACAGGTAGCAAGAAAGATTTGTTCTGTATTTATTTGTTGTACCGTTAAAGTTGATGTTTTTGAACTTTATTCATTGTTCTTTTCATTTGCTACAAATTTTCCTTCCTTTCTGTATGATGATGGTGCATGATTTTAATTGCTATTCTGTATTGTTGTTCGTTTAAAAAATGACGAGTAAATCTTTATTAGTGTTGGTTTCTGATGATGAATTGATACCATGTTCAGCTATTTCAGCGAATTTGGATTTATTTTTTGTTATGAAATGTCTTTATTTAGATGTATTTTTTATTTTTATTTTTAAGAGAAATCCATTCGTTTAAAATTATCATATGCTCTCTAAAGTTTAAATAACATTAATAACATATTTATTGAATTATAAATCATCTAGGAGGTTCTTTATAGTCATGTATGTTTCCAGGTTCGTTCTTATGATTTTGATCTTATTATGAAATTATGCTGTTGAAATCTAATATAGAAGAATATTTGATAATTCTAAAAAATTAGTTTGAGTGTATGAAACTTAGGGTGCATTTGGGGCAGCTTGTGTGTTTTAGGATAAACAACTTATCCTGAAATGCAACCTGTGCGTTGACCGCCGGGTTTCACCCGCGGACTGCATTTAGTGTAAAAATGGAACCGCGTTTTCGGATGAGCGGGCAAAACACGCGATCCAAACGGTACCGCGATATTTTAAAAAACGCTCCACACTTATAAGCTGCACCAAACGGGCCCTTAGTCTTTAAATTTAAGATAAGTTGTTTATATTATAGAATATAAAAATGGTTTATAAATTGAGCTTAATT